CCCCAAAACCCCAAAACCCCAAAACCCCAAAACCCCAAAACCCCAAAACCCCTCTTCAAGGGGTACTAAATGAAATTATATTAATTACAGAATGATATAAGAACCTGCATCCATCTTAAGCTTTTTCTTGGGCTGCCAAGCTTAGCTTTATTGCTTCATCGAGTTGTTGCTCTTCAAGTTTCTCCGATAGCATCTGATTAGTCATAGCTAAGAGCATGTGCTTATACTTCTCTGCATTATCTCCACCATCTTCCATATCATCTTCATCAATACCGAGGTCAATTTCTATTTCTCCTTCACCTTCACCTTCGCCTTCTTGATAATTCTCAAGTGCTTCAAAGAGGGCTTCTCTCATTTCGTCTTCTTCAGCTTCTTTCTGTTCTTCTTCATTATTTTTAGCATCTTTATATTCTTTGAATTTCCTAAAATAATGGGTTAGACTACTGAAGAGAATTTCTAGCAGGAAATAGACATACCTTATGGCCTTATCCTTGCTCTTAATAATTTTGGTAGTCTCCTTTTCAAGTTCTCTGATCTGACAGTCCTTGTGCCTGAGTTTCTTCTCAAGCATTTTTATCTTTTCATTGAGAGAGGAGATCTCCCGAGTTCTACTTCCTGACATCTTCTCAGTGACTAGAAGGTTTAAGGTCAGAATTTTAGGCATTAAGGGAGACTTACCAAACTTTTTAAACATTTTGTGTGCTGGTCTATCAAGAATCCCCTGCTTTTTGAATTTATACTCCGGCGGTTTGTACTTAAAAGCATTTTCCCCAGATTTCAAGGTTTCTTCACCTTGCGTCTCCTATATTTGGTCAGATTTTGTGCTGATGAAGAGAGCCTTCAACTAAGGGTATCCTAAGATAAAGCCAAGTCTTTTAAACTTTAGGTTAACCTAAAGTCTAAGATTTGGGAAATTTGTTTGCAGAAAGAAAGGATTTTGAGTAAAACCCAAAATATTCTTCACAGTTATCCAATTTCATTCCAAAACGAGTATAAATTTTTGGTGATTTATGAATCATTTACTCCAACGAAGCCGTTGGATTAGCTCACTTATCACTAAATCAGTATATTTTTGGTATGAAAAATTATGTCCAATAACAAGATTATGAACTTCCAGTCTGATCTGCAGATCAGACTGGGAAATAAACTTACATTTTTAAGCCCAAAGTCAAGTTTATTTGCAATTCATGATTTCTTTACTGTCCCTTCTTAGGTATGAAGAGTTCTTAGTTAAAGTGTGTGACAGGTGCTCCATATCTAAACAGATTAGGCTACTTAGAAGTAAGAATTTTCACAAAATAAGTACCTTTCTCAACTAGATTAGCCTTTTTTTTATTTAGCCCAATAGCAGGAGTCTGAGAGACTCCTCCTCTCATCTTGTTTTCATACTTATGCGCAGACTTCTTTATTGTTGATGACTGAAGGAAGGGGCCAAAGTTTGGATGATAGCTTTCTTTATTTAATGTTACTCCTCTTGACTACCTTCTTGGCTCCCTTTTTCTATAAAAATTGTTCTTTTTTTCTTTCAGAAGACCAAAATCCACTATGACTACGGCTTAAGAATCTGTATCAGGTTTTGTGTAAGAATAAGCACAAAGCCAGAGAAAATCAGGAGTATTAACACCAAATTTCCTGAAAATATGGCTAAAAATTTAAGCGCCGAGCAATGAGGGCATCCAGTCTCTTCCCAACTCATTATCAAATAGTTTCTTACCTTAATTCTAAACTCAGGAATCGGAAGATTATAGTGCGGATGAGATGCCTTTTCCATGTTATATTTAATTATATTATTCCCAAACAATCTTTTAAAGCAGGATGGGGTTTTGGGGTTTTGGGGTTTTGGGGTTTTGGGGTTTTGGGG